TACTGGCCAGCCACCACACACACACACACACACAAAAAAGAATCCAATAAATAAATAAATAAAAACCAACATTTGCATTTCCATGTGTTTTCTTAAAAAAATCTTTTCCTATGCACAATTTCACTTAATGTTCATAATAACCCTGACAGATAGACAGTAGTGTTCTCCTTAGATTTGTATACATAAACTGAAGATAAAAAGAGGATAAGATGACGAATAGATACAAAGGAAAAGCCAGGATCCAAATGCAAGTCTTTTCTCAGTCTTTCATTCTCTGCTCCATGCTCTGCCTCACTAAATATCGCTCCATATAGATTATGTGAGCTGAGGGCTGAAGGGGTAGGGACAGTTACCTTTTTTATTTTTGCTTTTAATAGCCTGTAGCCTGGTAGGCACTGAAGCACCTGTATTTGCTCACTTGTGCAACAAATATTTACTAAGCACCTAGTATGTGCCGGGCTCAGGCACTGAGATTACAATCGTGAACAAAGGCTGTCACTGTTCCTGAACTCACAGAGCTCCCATTCTCGTGGAAGAGACAAACAGATCAATAATTTCAGTGAAAACTGCTGCAGGGCGATACGGCAGGAAATAAGGGAGGGCGGGGGTAGATTTAGGTGGAGTGGTCAGAGAAGGCATTTCTGAGAAAGTGACATTAATTGAATGAACGAATGCATTAAGAGCCCCTTGCTTAGGACTCATTGCTGAGATCAGATTTGCCTAGTGTTTGCGGGCCATTAGACTGTTTGGGGCCTCTGACGCTGAATACCCTTTAAACCTTATGCTGATGGTGCCCGAAGGGCATGTGAAAAGAAAAAGCATGACGAAGAATCTCTTTCAATTTGTTTTTATTCTGACCTTGCGTTTGCTATCAGGGTCACACACCCACCTTGCCACTCCCACGCTTCTTCTCTCTAATATTTACGGCCTGCGCATGCGCAAGGGAAACCGTTAAGCCCAGCGCTACTACACAACGCATGCGCTCCCGCCCCGTAAACCCCGCCCCGACCCCACGCCCGCTCGCGAGGGC